GAAGAGAGTGTGTCAATCCCTGCTCAACCTGTGGGTCCACAGCATTCACCTTCATCTTCTCAAGTCTAACCTGTGCCCCTCTCCCCAGGGGCATCTCTGCTGGGGCCAGATCAGCTGCACCAGGCTGTTGGAGGCTGGGGCAGGGGCCATAGTGACTATCCCTTGCCAGCTGGCTAGGCCAGGCTGGTGTCATTTTCTCAGGTCTTACTAAAGTGGGTGCCAGCAGGCAACATTGTTATTCATCATGACCTCCAAATGAGCTGGTGCAAAGTCCCCTCAGTGCCAAGAAAAAGAGTACCAGATCACCTGGCAGAGTGAGTACTGCCTACAGTCCACTAGATGGACCAGGCCTTCTGCACAGCCTCAGCTTCCTTCCTCAGCCTCAGTCTGAGCTCCCAACATGTGTTTCAGAACTGCTTCTTGGAGGTTGAGTGCTAATTTCCTGAGTTTGTACTGCAACAAGAGACTCCAATGGCCTCAGGCAAAGAGATGCAGCGCATGTGGAGGTGGAGCTAGTGATCATGAAAAAGGAATTTCCTTGAAAATTGGATGAGGCACCAGTAGTATCTGCTATGTGCTCATCACCCTCATTACAGCACTTCCATTACTGCCATGCATGAATTCAGGCAGTGTTGACAGACACTGATTTTTCAAGGAAGATAAAAATCTGAAATTTTAGTGTGGCAATCATTTTTCAATGAATGGGCTTAGTAGGTCAGGGGTTTGAATTCCATTCCTGCCAATTAATTGGATAAAAGTGAGTCAGTCATTGCCTAGTGACTGACTAGTGGTCCCTAAGTATTATTTCTCAAATGCAAGGTCCCAGCTAAGGAAAGATGGTGCTGTTTTTGTTGAACACTTATTTACAGGAGCAGACAGTTTGGGGGCCTTTTTCTTCTTCTTCTTCTTCTTTTTTTATTTTTTTTTGGTGGTACTAGAGTTTGAACTCAGGGCCTTGCGCTTGCCAGGCAAGTGCTGTACCACTTGAACTAAGCATACCTTTAGTCCTTTTGGCTTTAGTTATTTCTCAGCTAGGGTGTTGATTTTTTCCTGGGCCAGCCTTAGGATGTGATCCTCCTACCTGTGTCTCCTGTGTTTCTGAAATTACAGACATGTACCACTATGTCCTGCTTGTTTGTTAGATGGGGTCCCACCGACTTTTTGTCCCAGTTGGACTTGAACTGTAGTTGTCCTGATAGCTACCTCCTGCGTAATTTGGATTATAGGCATGAGTCACTGAGCCTGGCCCCAGGGTGCCTTTGACTGAGCATCTACCTTGTGCTTGGTATACTTCCAGGGGGTTTACACAAATGACATCATTAATTCTTGAAACATTCTAAGAGTTGTTATTCATTTTCCTCTATCACACCTCAGATATCACGTTCCCTCTATTTACTACAAATTAGTGACTCATTAGATATTAGGCATGCCATAGAAGCTAGTGAATGTTTTACTTTTGGTTGACAGAAAACAAGTTCTGTTTTAGTCTTTTAAAGAGCAAGAAAGGATTCATTCTTCTAAACTTGAGCAATTCACTGTCATTTTCTTAACATTTTATTTTCTAGTTATGACAGCTTCACAGGAGTTACAAACAGGAGTACATCAGGCCTCCCTACTGGTAGCATCTTATATAACCATAGTATAATAGCAATATGAGGAAATAGATACTGATGCTATAAGAGGTATTTAGAAAATGCTTTTGCTGAAAAGCACTGATTCCTTGCTTGGGTCTGCAAACATCTAAAGGATAATTAAAGGCAGGATAAATGCTTGGCATCTCTGTCTCCATTTTGTATCTGAATTCTTTGTTGTGAGCCATTCTTTCCTACCAGTGACCTATAGTCACTTTATAGCCACCTTGGCATGCAGGAAGAACTGACGGATAATATCCTGTGACAGGAGACAAAGCTACCCCTTTGCTAGGGAACAGTGACTTTCTTATTGTAGTAAGGCCCTGTCTTGACCAATCCTGAGGAAATAAGCAACCAGAACACACTTCTGATCACCTGTGACACCAGGGTCTGTTAACTATGCATATCTCTTGTCCTGCCCCCAATTTTTACTCTATTTAAACTGAAGCTCATATCTGTACCTGGAAGATGGGCTGAAGTGCTCACTTTGGCTCTTCCTGTGGCATGCCTGTGCTGCATTAATGAATCTCCTCTCTCTGCTCTTCACCATTACTTGTCTCTTTATTTGGTTTACTGGGGCAAGTGGCTGGACCTGACATGAGGAAACCCTGGAGGGAGGCCTCTGGCCTAGAACTCCCAGGTACAATGCAATCCATAGAGATCATTCAAATTTCATCAGTTACACATGAACTCATTTGTGTGTGTGTGTGTGTGTAGTGTATATAAATGTTTGTACTCTGAAATTTTATCATGTGTTATCTTGCATAACCACCATAATCAAGATACTCAACTGTGCCCTTACCATATGACTCCCTTATGTTATTCCTTTGCTGCCACACATCTTCTGTACCTTGCCCCTAACAAGCAGTTATCTGCTGTGAATCTCTGTAATTGTGTTATTTCACAATAACATACTTAGAATCTATAACCATCCATGGTCTATAGCAGACATTCAGCAAATTTTTATGGAATGAATGTGAGAACAAACCACTAAAGACTATCAGCATTTACAATGTGCCTGACCTTGTAAGCTCTTTGCTAGGTATATATGGATGCAGGAAATGTTTGAGGCAAAAGTTCTGCCTTTGAAAATGACAAATGATTGAATAATCTTGGACAATGAGGGTAGAGAAGATCTTTAAATAAGCTGATTAGATAATGATTTATTATCTTAGTCTCCTGTCTGATTTTGACATCAGGTGTGTACTGCTAACCAGAAAGCCCTTTATTTCTCCAAATAAAGGGAAAGAAAAGACAGGTTGGCTTGAACTTGCCCTGCTTTTATTTTTCTGTAAGTACCAGTCACCAGCTGATTCATGACCAGCTTATGTTCTGAGATCATGGGGCCTTGTCTAGGTGCTTTCTGAGTCAGGCCAGGGGAGGATTCTTGTCTTTTACCCATTCCTTCCATTCTGTATGAAAGATTGTCCAAAAATGGATACAGATTCTTTCTCTCTCTATAGCCACATCTTTTTGTAATGTGACTTTGCATTTTATCCTAGCAAAAAGTGGAATCTATTTCCCATCCTTTAACTCTGGGCTTAGAGGTATTGTGTGACTTATTTTAATCAGGGTGATGCAAGGAAGGGTTAGAAAGGGCTTGGGTATCTATATCGGGACTTGCCTCTCTTGCTACTCTTGGGAACCTTATGACCAGCACCATGTGAATTAGCCAGAGCTTCCCTACTAGAGATGAATGGTACTTGGCCTAGTTATTGCCCGGCCCCTGCTGAGAGCCTGACAACTTCCAGGTAAGTGAGGGAGACCATCAACTGCAGGCTGGTCACAAACACAAGAAAGCTCAGCTGATGGCACATGGAGCAGAGAACAGCTATTCCAGATTATGCTGGCCCCAAATGCCAACCCATAGATTTCTGGGCAAATAAACAGTGGTTGTCTTAAGCCATTTAGTATTGAATGGTTTGTTATATAGCAAAACCTGACTGATACATGCTCTTGTGTCCTTCCTTTAAAAAAAATTTAGCCAGAATGATACAAAAAGCAGTACTAAAAACTTTCTATTAAAAATAATCTCGAGATAAAAAACTATGTATGCATGTACATGGAAATATGAGAAAAATAGGTAATAGGATGTGGGTAATCTTTTTTTATCCTCTGTACTTTCTTAATTTTACTAAATTTTCCACATTAAAGTTTGTATTCTTTTTAAAGCAAAATAAGATAAGCCAAAGTATTTGGGCAGTTTCTTCCATTTCTGCCCTCTAATCATTGTGGGGCAAATTCTGATGTGACACGAACATTTTCTACATGGTTAAGGTTGCTAGATTAAAAAAGACAGGTACAGCAAAAGGGATGTGGGCTCCATTTTTCACAGGAATGTTATCCCTGGTAGGAATCTCAGTGGGATTAAAGAGCTAAATGGTGAAAATCTCTGCTTAAGACTCTTCTATCTAAGCCTTCCTTGGGATGTCAAGTCACCATATTGTTGGCTGTTGTATGTCATGTCCTGTACCTTGGTGTGGCAGGTGGATTTCAAAAAAATCCTTTATGATGGTTGTAGTGATGAGAAACATAGGAGTCTGGGTGTGGAGAAATGCTGACAAGATAAATATTTTCTGTTTGTCCTTCCAGATTCACTCTCCTTTCTCTGAGCCTTGAGAGGCCAACCTACATTGCCTGCACTTGTGGTTTCCACCTGGGTTGAGCCAGTAGGAGATTGGAAGCAAGGAACAGAATGAGGTTGGGGTATCTATTCCCAAGCTCCATCCTGCAGGTTCACTGTGGTCTGGCATACACTACAGATCAGACCTCCTGGCAGACAACCCTGGACATGACAGTATCTATTCCCAGACTCCAAAGGCCAGTTTCCATCTCATCTCTTCAGGCATGAGGTAGGAAGAATGGTGGTTGATTCTAAAGTCCTGCACTCATTCTTGTGCTCTATTCCTCATGATTTTTCTACATCTCTGATACTTTGGTAACTATCTTTTCAATAAATTCTCTTCAAATTACCTAAATGGAGTTGGTCATCTGTTTCTTTCAAGGATTCTGAGGGGTATAGAAAGGGGGTAGATACAGCCCTAGAAAAGACAGCTCCTTTCCTCCAACAAAGAAAGGACTGTGGCAGAAAAAGAAAAGACATTTCCATAGCTTCCATTACTTCCCACACTCATTGTAAAGGAGGCAAATTATCCATCAAATTTAGGTCACAGGTAGTTCTGAGTAACAGGATGACACAGAGGATGGAAAAGTAATTTCCTTTCTGTAAGTTCTGGGAAGTGTGGTGGGTGACTTGTGACTAAGAATTAGAATTATGAGAAAGTGTTCTTAAAAGAATAATGCCTATGACAGACAAAGTGATAAAGCAAACTATGAAGGAATGAAAGAGACTCAACATGAAAATCTTACCCGGCCATCACTCGTTAGGAGGATGGAGTCACTCTTTATGTCCCTGTGAATCACCCCTTGGTTGTGAAGGTAGGAGAGAGCTCTTAGAACTGACAGGCAGACGGTAGCTATCTGTTCTTCATTCATTCTAGAAAGGAAATTACATTTAAGGAACAAGACAGGTTTAAGAACATCTTTCTGTTGCTTAAGAAAGGCCACTTTCTTGGGAAACTAGTCCAGGTTTCCAGCCCATAGCTGGAAAATCTGCAAGTAAGGGAAAGGAAGTCCCTGGGCTATGATTCTCAGAACACAAGGCTTGGCACTGAGGATGATAGGAGCCCAGTATAAATCCAAGAAAAGTGATCCCACCCCATTTATCAGCTTTTGAGTCTTTAATGCAAATACACTTCCATTGCCTCACTCTTTAAGCATAGACAAAGATGAAAGATAATATTAAGCTAGAATTGAAGAATTTCTCTCTCTTAGAAGGTTCTGACATAAAACTTTGATCCTCTACCTGCTCCTTCCCTCCCCAGGTACCTGTGGTAATACTAGCACAATAAAATGTCATGGGAACTCAGGACAATGAAACTGTTTTATAACTCTATGCAGACGTTGGAAAGTTGTATTATTTGTCTCTGAAGTTTCATTCTTAGTAGCCTACTGATTTTAAGTCAAGGATATTAAGTACCTTCTGAGGGCAGGAAGCATGTTAACTGAATGAGGGACTACATACACCTGACATTATAGGGGACTCTGGGAATATAAAAGATGTTGTGTTCTCTAAATCCAAAGTGTTTTAATTTATGAAGAGTTCATAAAGATAGTTGCTGAAGCTGTACCCTAGAGGAGAATAATAAGCACATTGAGTTCTCTGTCTGGATAATAAAGAAACTTACCTGGTATGAGTAACGATGTCTGTCAAGGCACCACCTTCTAGAAACTCCATCACCACCCAGAGCTCATCACCAACAAGGTAGCTGTTGTACATGTCAACCACATTATCATGGTGGTAATCCCGCATTATCACAACCTGGATGAATGAGAAACATCCTTTTTGACCTGCGAAAGTAAAATCTGGGTGTTGTTCTCTTGTGGCCATACCTACAGTATGAGAGGTGCTAACTGTGGGGAACTTTTTCTTTTTGGTGGCACTAGGTTTGAACGTAGGGCCTCTCATAAGTGCTCTAGAACTTAAGCCACACCCCAGCCCTTTTTTGCTTCAGTTATTTTTTGGAAAAGGTCTTGTGTTTCTTCATCTGGGTCACCTATACCACAATCCTACTTATACCTCCCATGTAGCTGGGATAACATACATGAACCACCCCAACCAGTTTTTTTTTTTTTTGAGATGGGGTCTTGCTAACTTTTTCCCCCAGGGTTGGTCTCAAACTGTGATCCTCACAATCTCTGCCTATGCAGTAGCTGGATTCCTGGCATGAGCCACTGTGCCCACTGTGTGGGGACTTTCTTTAGAAATCTACTACAGACAAAAATGCATCAAGGGTAGCTAGTAGGAATAGAAAAAGGACAAAGTTAATATATGTGTAAGAAAATGGTAGGTCAACCAGACATTGGAAAGACACACATGGAAAGAGGAAGAGAGGGAAAGAGGGGTGAGAGAAAAAGGAAGGGAGGTGAGAGAGAGTGGGAGAGAGAGAAAGAGAGATTCTAATGAAAACATGCAGAATTACTGTAAAGTTTGCATTTAACATTTAAAGAGGAATTTAGTTGACTGGGGGGTCTTTATAAAACACTCTTTACACTCTACTGTGAGCTAGCCCAACAGAGAGCCTCCAACTCGTAAGTGAATAGTACATGAGAACCCTAAGTCGATGGAAGGAAGTTATTAGAGGTAGGGCCACATGAAATCAACTTAACTTCTCACAGGAAAATGTATGTTTTGAATCTGAGGGAGGTCTGGTCAGAATAAAAAGATATATTTAGAAGGTAAAACCAAATATGATGTAGGCATAAAAAGGGCTCACTTAGCTTCCACAGGAATTGCTGTCCTGTGATTGTTTCTACTCTTCTCAGAATTAATGTTAAATAATAAATTGTAGGGTTGTTTATCACCATCATATTGCCCTGTCTGTTCTGTCATTGTCAGCTGGAAATAAATTCTAGCAGTCAGGCATAGTGGATGGGAAGATGCTGTATCCCACTCACCTGGAGCCTTCTGTGAGATTTGGTGCATGCATAAAAAATGAGTAACTGTGGGAGATGGAGATGCTGGGAGGCCACTGGGGGCTGCACATGAGCCTCCATGGAAGAGGTCCAAGGTTATAGCTGAGAGCATTCACACCATGTCTATGGATCAAACAACTTCTGCGTACTTTGAGAGAATGAGAATTCTCACAATAGAAAGTCAAAGAGGTCAAGCAGCAGTAGAATGTTCTGGAAGTTAGGAGATGTGACTTGCATGTCCTTTGTCAGAGACTAACATGTTATCTAACATGATATCGTGAGGATTTTGATTTCTCGTCTGCAAAAACTCATCTCTCCCCGGGATTCTTATAAAATTACTAAAGGGATATTGCTCCAAAATACTGTTTCCTGACATAGTTGCTCACATGGTGTCACCTATTTTAGACTTTTTAAGTGATATGTGTACAACAAATATACAGAAAAGGTTTCTTAATATATTGAGTGCTCTTAAGCATACAAAGGACATGTGATTTGATAAAGAAATGAAAATGGCCTATAAACATGAAAAAATAAATACAGCCCTTCTAACAATGAAAGTGCTAATTAAACCAGTAAAATTTGCTCATGTTTATCAGATTAACGGAGATAACATGATAACACCTAAAAATGTTAGTGAAGGTGAAATAGAACTATTATTAGTGAGGGTCCAAGTTGCTCAAAAGTTCAGGAAACCTTACATATAATTTCTCTGAAAAATCCCAAATATTTATGTTTCACTTAATGTGTTCAGTGAAACACATTAACCTTCATGGGATATTAAACACATGGAAATTATCAACTATGAGATAAAATACTTAATATAACTATACTCAGTAAAATTATAAAAGTGACAAAATGGAAACAATGTAAATCAGAGACTGGTTTAATGGGTTTGATGCCTAAGTATGACAGAAAACTATTAGACCATTAAAATGATGTTTTAGATGTACAGTTAAGAAAATACATCTATATGTTATTTTATATTGATTTTTATTAATGCTCACTTAATATTAAGTGAAATTAGAGAAATACCAAAGCTAAATATATAGAATTATAAAAGACTTTTAAATAGAGAGAATATGAGAAGGAAATGCTAAAATATTAATGTTAGGCAATTGCATGGTTGTGGGACGATATGAGACATTTTTCTTATATTTTCTAGATCCTTTACAGAAAGAGTTCATCATTTATAGTTAGAAAAAATATTTTAAAGTTCCTAAAGAATGATCGTCAGACAAAAAGGCAAACTGACCACTGTTTATTGTGTTAAAAAACTGGCTACCAAAGGTACAAATGATACTGTAATCATGTAAAGTACATACACAGTTGGCCATCTTTATCTATGAGTCCCAAATCCCAGAGATTCAGCTAACCACGGGCAGACTTTTTCTTCTTGTCATTATTCTCTAACGGTGTATTATATCACATTTACACTGTTTTAGATATTGTAAGTAATCTAGAGATGATTTTCAAAAGGCTAATTTGAGCCTGCCTGCTGGAGAGAGGCTTCTAGAAATTGCTGCTCTGTGTACAGGTGGATTTCTTTCAAACACTGCGCTATTTTATGTAAGGGACTTGAGCATTCACAGATTTTGGTATTTTCTGGGGGTCCTAGAGCTCATCCCCTGCAGATACAAAGGGGCAAGTGTATACCCACATAGATAGTTTAGCTTGAGATCTGGAATATGCTAGACACCATTCAAATTCCAGCTCTATTATCGATTTGCTGCATTACCCTGGGCTAGTCACTTAGCCTGCGTGAGTCTAGGTTTCCTTGTTAAACCCATGCTAACACCTTTCTACCTCACAGGGTTTTATGAGATCAGACTAGATTAATTCCTTGCACAGTGGCTGATTCACATGAAGAACTTTTATAAAAGCAACAGCCATACATGCATAGAACCAGACTAGAGGGAAAGAGTATGGGGATACTACTTTTGTCTTTCTATTTTCAGTGCCTTAAACGCACAGGTACTACTTTGGAAGTGGGAAATAAATCCAAACACATCATTTACCTCATTAAAAAGCAGTTCTCGTCTTTGTTGCTTACGGAGGTCCATTTTCTTCACTGCCACTTGTTTCCCTGTGTGTTTCTCTGTTGCGATGCATACGATGCCTGTTGACCCTTCTCCGATTTTGATAAAATTATCCAGGTATTCTCTGGGGTCTCCCGGGCTGACCACCAGCTGCAGGGCAGCCCGGAACTGTTCGTGGGACACCCTGGAGGGCTGCTGGTCTGAGGAGGAGCCCCAGCTGGGTGGGGGGTAGGTGCTGGATGAGATGCTGAGCGTGCTCAGGTAAGAAGCTGTGGAGATGTACTGAGAACTGCTCTGCAGGGAAGGGTGGTGGTACAGGGTGGCTTTGTGGTACCCAGAAGGGTACTGGTGGCTGCTTGATGAGTAGCCTGTTTTGCTTTGACTTTGAGGTAGTTTGGCGGGGCCCCTGGGATAGGTGTCGGACCCTGACAGTGGAGGACTGAGGACCATCTGTGCTCGATCGTAATCCACCTGGGAAGACAGACATGGATAGAGAAGCTTCACCTGCTAGAAATGAGTGTGAAATTAACAGCTGGCAGAATGAAGAGCACCAACAGATGCTCTTCATAATAATGATAATGAAAGGATATGGCTAGGGCACCTATTGTACGGCCTATACCAACAGGGGCTGAACTTACTACTTAAGCCCTTTTATTCAGAAATGAAAGATATCACCTGTCATTAAAATTCACTAGTCTTCAGCCAATTTTGGAGAGAAATTTCCAGGGCATGAGTCCTTGTCTCATGCTTCTGAACTCACTGCTTAAAGTTGGCCTATACTATTCATATGTCTAACATAGGCTCCTGGTGCCAAGTAGCTTTTGCTTCAGTATGAACCATAGAATGAAATCCAATGCTTCTATACAAATATAATTTAAAGTAGTCAAAATTTGCAGGTGTGTATGTGCACGAGCATGTGTGTGTGTGTGTGTGTGTGTGAAAAGGACATTTGCCCAACCCTCAAAGTGATCTCAGGAATGAACATTTCACTCTGAATTCGAAAAGAAGATTGTGGGGATTTAGTGGAGGAGAATGAAGAGGGCAGGCAGAGCAAGTGCAGAGGAAGTTGGTGAAGAGTTCATTCTTATATGATTCTAGATGTAGGTCTTAGCAATCACTTCCTGGAATGGACCAGGCAGGGGCTATGGTCACCTCTGGTATGACAGAGGTCAGGGGTGGCACATATACCACATGTTTACCTTTTTTGGCCAGGACAGAAAGTAGTAATTGATCAATGTACTCTTTTCTGCAAGATCCTTATAACAATATAGTACTAGCTACATAGAGGGTATTCAAAAGAAATTAATTGGATTGGATCTCAGGTTCTTTCTTAACACAGGTTCCTGAGAAGTTGCTATCCCTTTACTGGGATATACATATAATACCATGAACTTCCAACCCATGCATCTAGATATGCTCTCAGATGGCAGCTACTATTCACTTATAGCTATTTAGATTAAAGTCAAGAACAATAAGAAAAAGTTAAAATTCAGTTCCTAAGTCAAGCTAGTCACATTTGTATTCAATAAAAATAAGTAAAATAAAAAATTTTCAGTATTCAATTGGCACCACATCAGACAACACTGACACAGAACATTTCTACCATTGTGGCAAGATCTACTGGATCTGCAGTGTTGTAGATGAAATGATTGTTTCCACACAGTACATTCATTCATTCATCCATTCCATAAATTAATATTTGAGCAATTTTTGTGAGCTAAGTTCCATTACACATACTGGGGAAATGTCTACCAAAAATCAAAATGTATAGTATCCCTTCTGAAGTTTATATTCTAGAGGAGACAGATGACAAACAAGAAAACAAACAAATATATAGTAATGTGGTCCAGCTATAAGTGATAAGAAGAAACATAACAGAGTGAGGGGATTGAGAGATCTGGGTGCCATCTTGGATAGGATGATTATAGAGAGTCTCTTTGAGGGAGTGGTAGGTGAGTAGAAACCTGTCTTGCTGAAGGAACAAGCTCTATGACTGTCTGGAGTGAGGGTGGTCTAGGAAGAGGGAGGAATAGCATGTGGAGGATTCTGAGGCAGACCCAGGCTTGGCAAGTTTGAAGGATAGAAGGAAGGAGAGGGCAGGAACAGTTCAGAAAGCTGGACGGAGAAGCAGCCAGGGAAAAGATCATGAAGAGCTTGGAAAGGTTGTTGGTATTTGTTCTGAATGAGGTGGGAGCCACTGGAGATTGCCAAGAACAGAAGAGTGATCATGTGGTCTGACTTTCTGGCTGCTGGAAGAGAAGGCTTTTTGGAAGGAAGAGTGGAAATAGGGATACCAATTAGTTTACTGTGGTCAATGTCAGCTGAGATTAGGGTGGTTACTACAGATGAGGTGAGAAATGGCTCTGAAGACAAGATGACAGGATTTGCTGATGAGTTTGGATGAGAACTTGAAAGACAGGGATTAAAGATGATTCCCAGGATTTTGGCATAAGCATCAGGACAATTAAGCTGATGAGGTACCTGGGGGTAGGAATGGACTTGTGAAGTGTGGTAATCATTCTCCAAGACCACTTCCAATGTTTCCTAATTCCCAGTATTTATACTTTTATGTAGTCAGGGTTGACCTCAGTGATCAAAGAAAAACTGTAGTAGCACCTTTTGTGTATGTATGTGTGCATGCTAGGCTAAAAAAGGCATCATGGTTTCTTTGTTTCTCACTCAGATCATTTGGCATGACTTTCCCCAGCTGCCATATCATGAGGATACTCAAGAATTCTATGGATGGGAGGCTGGTGGTTTCAGGCCAGCTCAGGGAAAAAATTTTTGCAAGACCTCATCTTGATGGAAAAAACCTGGGCATGGTGGCACAAGTCTATCATCTCAGCTTTGGCAGAGAGCATAAAATAGGAGGATTGTAGTAAAAAGTGATCCAAACTAATGGTTTCCAAAGTAACTAGAGCAAAAATGGCTGAAGGAATGGCTTGGGTGGTAGAATACCTGCCTTACAATTGCAAAGGCCTGAGTTCAAACCCCAGTACTGCCAAAAAAAATTATAAAAAAAGAAAGAAAGAAAGAAAAGAAGAATGAAAATGGAATTCTATGGAAAGGTCCACATGGCAAGGAACTGAGGCCTCCTGCCAAGTACTAGCTAGAAACTAAAGCCTTTGGCGAATAGCTGTGTGAACCATTCTAGAAGTAGAGCCCCAAGCCCCAGGACAGCCCTCAGATGACTGAAATCTCAGGATAGAGTCCAAGACAAATCCTGTCAAATTCTGACCTACAGAAATACCAAATGAGAATGTTTGCCATTTAATGTTCACAGGGCAATTTGTTGAACAGCAAAGCATTCTGATTTATGAGATAGCTAGTTACAGAGCAATTGATAGCTAATATAATGGGAGGCCTGACCCAAGAAATTGTGTGAGATGATAAATGCTTACTGTTATTTTAAACTGTGAAATTTTGGGATAATTTGTTACATAGCAAGATTTAACTAATACATGAGAGGAAATCAAGAGTTCTGTTATAGCCATATTAAGTTTGAGAGTGCATTAGACATCCATGTGGAGATGTTACCTGAGTGACTTAGACACATCTCAAGTCCAGGGAAGAGTTGAGACTAAAAATATGAACCTAAGAGTCAATGCTTAGTTGGCATTAAGGCCATGATGCTGAATGTATAAAAGAAGTTTTGAGGACTCCAATATCCCGAGACCAAAAAAAGCAGGAGAACCTTGCAAAAATGGACAGAGAAGGAGTAAAGTGATATAGGAAGGAAACTAAGACAGCAGAGTGTTCTGGAGCCAAGGGAGGACAGTATTCCAAGAAGGAAGAAGTAATGAATTATGTCCTATGCCATTGAGGAGTAGAATAGGATGGACCCCAGAACTCAATGGATCAGGTAGATGGCTCAAGCTCCAATCACTACATGGAAGGAGAAAATAAACAGTAACTATGATATTAATAAAATGAGCTCCCATCTACTGAGGATACAAATTATGTTAGAAAATAGGTTGATTTTTTTGAAGGTGGTACTGGGATTTGAGCTCAGGACCTCTCACTGTTGCTAGGAAAGTTCTCTACCCCCTGAGTCACACCCTCATCCCTTTTTTGGTTTAGATATTTTTTGAATAGGGTCTCAACTTTTGCCTGGGCTGGCCTGGACTGCTATCCTTCTATTTATGCTTCCCAAGTAGCTGGGATGACAGGTGCACACAACACCCAGCTATTGGTTTTGCTAATTCTGCGCTCCCCCCCTCCACCTTCCTCAGGCTAGCCTCAAGCCATGATCCTCCTGATCTCTGCTTTCTAGGATCCTGCAGCTAGGATTACAGATGTGAACCACTGCACCTGGGTAGGATGATTCTTTCTAAGCCCCTGTATTTGTGCTACACAAGGAAAACTATTGTATATATGTCCAAATGTACACAGCAGAAGCAGGGAGATATAAATGTCAGTGTAAGTTAAGCAACTTGATTTTTGCTTCAAATTTAGCTCTGTTTGTCAAAGCCAAGTGTAGGCTAGCCAGTAGAGTCAGGAGATGGGGTGAAGTGAGGTCTTCAACTTTTATTCTTGAAAGTGTGTCTTGGGAGCCTTTATACACCATCATTTTCCTGTGTCTTTCGTAGAGGATTTGCTTTTATACTTTAAACAAAATTGCATTCATTCCCCACAAGCACATTTATCTAATCTCTGAAGATATATTACAGAGAGGAAAGCTTTGTCTTGTAGGAATTGCAACCACTTCACACAGTATTAGGCACCTGTCTGTCTTCCCTTATCTCTTTTCAGCAGCATTATTAGGGTCTACTCTTCACAGCCAGCTTGTGGCATAAGGAAAAGGATGCTTGCCTGCATGAAGGGGACAATTTCTGGTTACAGATGGAAAGCAGAGTTGTTTTCTAGAAGCTAAATGTCTGAAATTAAGTCTTTTAGACAAAATGGTGTACTTGTCTTTCATAGTTGTTGGTAAAGAAGTAGAGACTCTTTAAAAAGCAACAAGGAGCAACCATTACCACAAAAGACATTTTTTAGAACCAAACTGAGGTATTCAAAAGAGAATTAATTGTTTGCCTCAGGTGAGAACCATATGGTCTTTCTTTGGAGCTTCCATCCATTCAAGGAGAGGATAGCAGAAAAATAGCTTGACTTTTGCAAAGGAGAAATGTATGAGCGACCCTGTTTGGGGCCACCATGTTGCTGAATCACAGCCTTCATTCAGGTCTTAGCCAACTGTGGATTCCATGATGGTGTCCACACATTTGTGACAGGCCTGTTCTTTTTTACTCTGGGAATAAAATAATGAGCAATTTATCAGATTTTGTTATTGGTAAAACTGAGTCTTAGATAGATGAAATTACCCCAAAGCAATCCAGGGAAAGTGACCCTATACTCTTGAGAAGATTATACAACCCTATTCTTCTGCTGAAGTCTGGCCTTTACTCCCAGTGGGAAGGTTTCTCGATGTCCTAGCCACTGAGCACCCCAGAACCACAGGCCTGCTTTTTTAC